ACGGGCCAGCGGGCTCCAGACGTCGACGGAGCGGGGCCGGAGGAGGCGGCGGTGCCATGCGAGCAGCCCGAGCCCCGAGCCTGATCGGGGCCGTTCCCCCAGCCAATCTCGTGCTCCGGGGCCCGTTTAAATGAGAAACCCCACAAAGGACGGTGACTTGGGCACTGAGTCGCCCGGGGCTCGGGGTTGGCCCGGCCGAGCGCAGGCACAACAGATCTTTTTTTTTTCTTTCTTTCTTTCTCCCTGAGTTGATTTCCAAATCATCAAGTCCTTAATTCCTGGGAATCAGAATTGAAGGAGCCAGGAAGGGCATGGTGAAACTTACGGACACCTTCATCTACTTTAGGAAGACGTTTGTGAGAGACCAATGAAATAAGGATGCTTTCTATCATAAACCCAACGGAGCATTTATTACAGAACGAGGATTTTTCTACATGCAAACTCGGGGAATGTTCCTTAGCAAGACAAGTGAAAGTACTTTTCAACTGGAGTGTAAGGTTAAACAGCTTGCATAATTACTCTGAGGGAAGAGTCAGTTCCCTGCATTCGGACACAACAATTATCATTATTTTGATAACATTTCCAGACTTAGGTGTTAGAGTGCTGATAACGAAGAAGAGAGTCACCTAAATGTATCCGATCTAAAGCCTTTTTCAATCTTCCCGCGATGTTAAAACATACTTAAAAATCATTGGTCAGTCATTTATACTGAGAATATGAGCTAGAAACGGCCATAGGGAATTTGGCACCCTGTGACTACCAAAAAAAAGTCAACAACTTGTATAAAAGAAGAGAAAGATTTTTGTCATTGTCAGATTAGTAAATATTGGGCCTCATTGTTATTTGCAAAACCTACAGCTCTACTTCTTGTCCCTTTCTCCCTGTTACTCAGGGAATAGAAGAGGGCGAGCAAAGAGGAGTGGTCTCTACCAGTAACTTCATTTTGCCTTGATTTTGTCTTGCCTTTTTCCCTAAAGCTCAGACCCCCTCCAGCAAAAATGCAAGGACCTCCTACAAGTTTTATGCCCATAGCACTTATTTCGAAGAGGACTGCAAGTAGAACAAGATTTCTTAAATTGCATCTAGCTTTTTTCTAGTTGAAAACCATTTGTAACTAGTCAGCAGTAGGAAGAAAAGAGCATTTAAACAGATACGTGCAATGGCTTCTCCACAGGCAAGCTTTGTTAATATACCAAAGCAGATGTGCAGGGGGCAATTAGACATAGGCAGATGGCTAGTGATAACCCCCACAATCACAATGGCTCTGATGGGTAAAGAAAGACCTGTAGGGCTCACTGTTTTATCCTAAAAGAACCATTTTCAGGAGATGCTTGGGAGATGCCTTAAGAAAGAAGGCTACTAGAACTAAGAACTACATGGCTTCAACCATGACTACACTAAGAGTGGTATATGGGAAGGAAGAGGGCAGGGGAGAATCCTCTTTAGAGACATTGAGAAGAGCATCTGTGGCTGAAATAAGGTGGTGTCTTGCTAATGTATAAAGTCACCTCTGCTTTTTTTTTTTTCCCCAGTCAGTCATAGGGCTTGAACTCAGGGCCTGGATGCTCTCCCTGAGCTTTTGTGCTCAAGGCTAGCGCTCTACCACTTGAGCCACAGTGCTACTTCTGGTTTTTGAGTGGTTCATTGGAGAAAAGAGTCTCATGGGCACTTTTCTGCCCTGGCTGGCATTGAACCTCAGTCCTCAGATCTCAGACTCCTGAGTAGCTAAGATTGCAGACATGAGCCATTGGCGCCCAGCCATTTCTGCTTTTTTAAAGACAACACCCAAGAAAAGCTCACTGTTGAAGTCCAGATTGTCTATTTGTTAGGGGAGATTTTTAGCAGTGAAAAGAGAACTCTGTAGCCTGGTTAACTAAATTAAACTATTTCCAATTTCTCTTTAAGAGTTGAAGAGGAACACAATGGTATAGGTCTGAACCTGAACAGAGAAGCTGGTCTTGAAGATTCGCAGGACATAGCATAGTCAGTGACTATAATTACTACTCTGTCTCTTCTGGCTTCTCCATGTTAATGAACTCCTTGAAGTCTCAGATTTTCATCTATAGAGTGAAATGAATAATGTCTTAAAGCTTAGTGTCTGGCACGTAATAACTAGTATTTATAGTATCAAATGTGATGCATACACACATCATATAAATACACAGATATGTGCTAAAGAACTGGACTAATGGGCTGGGAATGTGGCTTAGTGGTAGAGTGTTTGCCTAGCATGCATGAAGCCCTGGATTCGATTTCTCAGTATCACATAAACAGAAAGAGAAGTGGAGCTATGGCTCAAGTGGTAGAGTGATAGCCTTGAGCAAAAGAAGGTCAGAGGCAGTGCCCAGGCCCTGAGTTCAAGTCCCCGGTCTGGCAAAAAAAAAAAAAAAAAAACTTAACATATATGTGTGTGTATGTGTGTATGTATGTATATAATATATATATATATATATATATATATATATATAAGTTATACGTATGTGTGTTTGTTTTTTGAGCTAGAGTCTTACTTTGTTGCCCTCAGCCTCCTGAGCATCTGAGACTACTGCATACAGTCATTTATGGGGCTTGAACTCAGGTCCTACCTAGGCACTTAGCTTTTTTGCTCAAGGCTAGTGTTCTACCACTTGGAGCCACAGTTCCACTTGCAGGGTTTTTTTGTTTGTTTGTTTTGGGGTTCTGGACATGGGGCCTGAACTCTGGGTCTGGGCGCTGTACCTCAGTTCTTCAGCTCAAGGTTAGCGCTCTACCACTTGAGCCACAGCGCCACTTCCAGCTTTTTTCTTTTTGCTTAGGTGGTGCTGAGGAATCGAACCCAGGGCCTCAAGCATGCAAGGCAAGTGCTCTACCACTGAGCCACCTTCCCAGCCCTTTTTGTTTGTTTGTTGATGGTTAATTGGAAATAAGAGTCTCTTGGAAAAGGTCTGGCTTCAAGCCCTGATCCTCAGATATTAGCCTCCTGATTAGCTAGGATTACAGGCATGAGCCACATGCACCTGGCATCAATTGTGTACTTTCTATGTG